CAAGATATTAAATACTTCATTTGCTTTCTCTTTTTTCTTCTTGGTTTGTTTGTTTGTTTGATTGTTTGTTTGTTTTTAAAGAAAAATAGAGTACATCTCCCTCTCCTTCCCAGTTCCCCATAGTTCAGTATTTCTGCAAACCATTACATTCCTAGAAAATGTCAGAAGCTATCATCATAACTTCCGTTATAAGAGAACTGGTCTGGACTAACACTTCAATAAAGTGAAATCTCCCAGCCCATCGAGAAGTAATTCCTCTTTATTATTTTAGTAACATATTTGATGGGGTTGTGGGTCACATCCAGCAATGAAACTGAGAGCAGTGAATTAAGAGGCACAGATACTGGAGAAACATGACTCATTTCAAAACTGGGTATGTCTTTAATATTTAGTTAATCTTTTCACTGCCTCCAACGCAAAACCTGTGAATTTCCCATGCTACTGGAAAGAGGCTAATTGGGAATGAGAAGGAAAGATGTGATAAAGGATAAAGGCCAGATTTTTTTAAGGGAAAATGAGAGATGTTATTTACACTGCTCCCTGAAAGAAAAATAAATTGTAGAAAATCGTTACCCTAAAAAACCAGATTATATTATCTCTGAATATGCAGATTGAGATTCCCTAAGAACAGTAAAACCAGGTTATAATAATCAGCCAAAAAAGTCACCCTTTGCATCATAAAAATAAGTTGCTTCCATGTGGAAAGGTTTTAATGAAAAACAGGATTAAATTGTGCTACAGAAACATGACAGTTTGCATTTTTATCCTATGCAGAGAAGATAGTCAGTAGCTTTCTGCTCTTTACTTTTGCCTAGGGATTAGGGTAATATTGTAGGCTTAATGCTTGAAATCAGTGCTTGAAAATAATGAATCCCCTGAATCAGCATATTCCTATAGAGTTGAGGGGCTGGTTATGGGTACACAACTCAGTCTAGAGGCCATATGACCTGCTCTCTCAGAGACTCACAGGAACTGACAAGTAATGAGGGTAAGGCTGCCATATCTTCTCCAAGTGACATTTTGGGAGGTCTGGACAGGAAAGGTGGCAAAATGCAAAAGGGATGCACAAAATTGAACAGGCTGGCTGGGATGATATTTTTTCTCCAAAAGCATTTCCAAATGTCATTTTTTGCCTGATAAAACTGCAAAGTTAACTCCTTTGCCAGGTGTGTATCTGTTTGGTGGACCCTTGTGGCACAATGGGTGCATCCCCTAGTACAGCTCTTGTCATCCTAAAGCAGGCGGGAACTTTGGTGTGACTTGCTCTGTTAGACGATGCCAGCAAGTCAGCTCTGGTGAGGTAGGGCCTGATTGCAAGCCAGGGTCTCTGTCGAGTTTATAAAATCTCCTCGGTGTGAGAGGTGTGAAGACGGCATGGCTGCTGCTTCCTCTTTTGCCTAGCTTGAGAGTACAGACAAAAACGCTGACACTTTTCCCTATTGCTTGCAGTGAAGCTGACTTTGTTTCCCCTGCTGCCTCCACACAGCCTTCCCTTCCTCCCTAGCAGTCATGGTCACACAACACAAACATCGTACAGCACTGTGCAACACACTCCACTGGCTAGTGACAAGTAAGAGTGGCCAGTGCAGCACCACATCAGCCCCACGGCCTCCAGGCAGCCCAGGGTTTGCTTTAACTGAGGTGAACAGCACAAGAGTGTGTGCTTACAGCTAAGCACACATTTCAGAGATGTGATTTACCAGTGCTTAAAATAGCATAATCCACTGGCCAACACAGGCTTGAATTCACAGTGCCAAAAAATCTAATAATGGAGGAAGGAGCATATAATGTTAACAGGAACATCAAAAACTAATTTTGAGACACATGTTTTCTTTTCTTAAAAACACATTTGCATATTGGCTTTATAGCAAGGTTTTGGAAACAAAAGCTGTACATAAAAGGAACAGATGTTTTAGCCTGGTGATGTTTCCTGTTTGAAGAGAATTAAATTCTTTCCACATCATATGAAGCATTTTAAGATCACCATTAACTTTCGGCATAAAGCATCCCCTTGCAAAGATTCCTGACACAAGCACCATGCCCAGATAGAATGTGTTTTCCCTACCTCATGATGCAGGGGAAAAAAATGCAGTTAAAAACTGTTTAGATTTTAAAAAACTGTGAGATTTGGTCTTAACATCATAAGCGAAACAGTCAAAAAACTTGTTTTAAGAGATGGCAACAGAAATACAAGTAGTTTTTTGATGCTAGGTAAGTAGTTTCTAGACAGAAGTTAGTATGCAACAGAAAAGCTGGAGTGGAGAAGAAAGTTCATTTTCCACAAATAAAAAGGTAGGTTTCTTTTCCATGATTTACCCTCTTGTTCCCATATCCAGTTAATATGTGTTTCAACAGTATCATTTGGTATTTCCTTTCCTCTTAATGTCTTTGCAGCATACAAAAGTGTTAAATGTTTTAAGCATAAAAGCCTTTGTCAAAATCTGTGTGCCTGGAAGTGTCCCCATCTCTATCTAGTCTCATAAAAGCTCTTACCTGTTACTTTCTTGTATTCATCACACTACAAAAACACCACTGCAAATCACACAGCTAAAGAGACCTCACACATGTTTTCAAATGAAAGTTGTGTGCAGGAAAACTCTTGAATTTAGAGGACTCTTTGTACTAAGACCTAGCATTAGGTCCTGACTGGCCAGATCAACTACAAGCTACTGGCAAAATTGTATTCTACATTTCCCAAAGGAGAACTTGAATATATATGCAATAATTGATTAATGAGCCCTGTACCTTGGCTCGATCCCTGTAGTGCATTGCCACTCAAATACAGATTCTCTATTCATTGCCCCTCATTCCTCATCATGGAGTAGGCACCAACATCATTCCCTTTGGAGGACAACACCACTCCTTTCACATGCTACCATCCCAGGAGATATTTTTTTCAGCAGCGAATGAGCATTGACTCTATAGAGCCACACTGCTGCCAAAGGAAAGCCCTCAAAATGCTTCAGTGACGGGCAGCACCTCCGCAGCACCAGTCAAAAGCAGCTGCCCCAGCTGTCCCTGCCTCCTACCAGGCTGTGCCAGGGGTGGTCATCACCATGGATCAGAAGTGGAATCCAGCTTGCAAGCCCTTGCTGGTGGCCTTGTGTTTTGGGTTTGCATGGCCTGGGGTTTTGGTAGCAGAAGGGGCTGTATGGGTGGCTTCTGTGAGAAGCTGCCAGAAGTTTTCCCCATGTCCAGTAGAGCCAATCCCGCCTGGTTCCAAAGATGGGTGCACCACTGACCAAGGCTGGGCCAGTTAGAAATGGTGGAACTGCCTGTGTGATAACAGATTTAAGAAATGAAAACAAAAGTTGTTGTGCAGTTGTAACTGTGGCCAGAGAAGAGCGGAGTGGAAACATGTGAGAACAACTCTGCAGACACCAAGGTCAGCGCAGAAGGAGGGGGAGGGAGGTGTTCCAGGATGAACCCACGCTGCAGCAGCTTTGGGAAGACTGTTGCCCGTGGAATGGACTCACGTTGCAGCAGTTTGGAGGGAGCTGTCACTGATGAGATGGAGCCACGTTGGAGAAGCTCTCAGTGAACTGTCTCCTGTGGGAGGGACCCTGCGGTGCAGCAGGAGAAGGACTCCTCTCCTGAGTAGCAGGAGAAGCCACGGGTGATGAACTGACTGTAACACCCATTCCCTGTCTCATTGGAGCTGGATAGGAGGAAGAGCTCAGAGGGAGGGAGGGGTAGGTGGTTTTTTAAGGACTTGTTTTACTTCTCTTTATCCTGCACTGATTTGTTAGCAGTAAGCTCACTTCATATCTCTAAGTTGCATCTGTTTTGCCCATGATGGTATTTGCTGAGCCATCTCTCCTGTCCTCCTCTCAACCCATGAACCTAAATGCTAAATTTTTGCTAAATTTTCTCTCCTCTGTCCAGCTGCAGAGGGGAGTGAGTAAGCAGTTCATGGGTGGGCCTTTCAACAGTGGTACGTTCGATTGCTTAACTCTCTATTTAATGCTGATATATTATTTCCTCCTGAGAAAGAAAATAATTCTTTAGCCTAGAAATAGATGATTCTGGAGCAGTAAGCTGCCATATGGCAGGAAAGCCAGTTGTAACTGTATGACCCTTGTGCTCAGGTCTCAGGTGGGAGACACAACCATGGAAAACACGGTGTCCCACTGTGCCTGCCAGGAAATCATTCACTAGCCAGGGAGGCATTTTGCACCTCTCCAGGACACCACAGGCATGGTCCTGCCAGAAGCTCAGTGCCACTTGCAACAGGGATGAGACCCAGTAAGGGACATTTTATCCTCCAGCATTTTGTACCTACACACAACATCCTATGCTTATTACATCTTCAGTGTGCTCTTCACTTACAGCATCAGATTTCAACTCTCACTGCAGGATGGGGTGTGATTTCAACACAAATGCCTGTGGCGAAACTTACATATCGGCAGAAGGGAGTTCATAAACAAGTTAGGGTATTCTATATCTGATTTATGCTAGACATCCCAGACACCTCGGGCAGAAGTAAACTAGGATGAACATATATTTTCACTCTGCAAGTACTGTCCAAATTTCACAGGGGTGTGAAAACCCACACATTTCTATATAAGTGGAAAATTCTTTCCTCTATTTGAAATAATTTGAAGGATGGGTGTGCTCCCATACTTATCCTTTGATGGAGTTGATAGCATTGCTATAGTGCTGATGATTTAAGCATAAAAGAAGCATTATAATTTTGTATTTCTTCTCTCCAGTAATCTTTCAAAACATTGCTCTGGGTTAAGAAATGAAGTTATTGGGATTTACAGGCTCGCTTATTGGTACAACTGCAAGAAACCAATTTAGATTAGATTAGGCTAGCTTAGGTTAGGGTAAGGTAGGTTAGGTTGCACTAGGCTGGGCTGGGCTGGGCTGACTGAGGGTCAGGGCAAATGCAATGGAAGTATTTGGGTATAAAAACTTCTTTCTCGGGAAGTGCAGCGCTGTTCCTGCTTAGTGCTACACACGGTGACGTCGTGGGGTGGGGTAAGAGGGAAGAGGAGGGGTGATCTCCTAACAAACAGCTGTTGCAGCTGCAGAGGGGAAAAAGGAGAAAGCTCAGGAGCAGCAGCAGCAATCCGACCCCTGCAACAGGTAAAACTTCTTGAGTGCAGGTGACACAGACTGCTCAAATGCAAAAAGGAGAGGGGAAAAAACAGTGGGTGGCATGTGGGAGAAAAGTACAGCAGCTGTACTCAGCAGCTCTCTTCTTCCTGAACTACAGGGCTTGCAGCTTGTCATGGGTAGGAAGGGGAAGACACAGAAGTTTAGACCAACATGACTTAATGTGACTTAGAAGGAAACTATGTCAGCACAGGGAATTTTCTAGCAGACCTTGCCTGCTGGGTAGTTTTTTTTTTTTTTTTTTTTTTTTTTTTAGTGGGAAAAGAGAAAAAAAAAAAAAAAAAAAAAAAAAAAGGAATATTGCATATTGCTCTCTGGTTTCAGCATGGGGGCTGGTTCCTCATGTGTGGTCAGCCAGCACAGGCACACGGGAAGGCAGCAGAGCACAGGAGTCCTGAGGGGCAGGAAAGTGCCCTGTGCACACAGGTCTGGGTGGGGTCCTCCATGTGGGACAACCCTGAGAGCAACCCGAGTGTGGCCTTCATCCTGTCACCCTGCAAGGGACACATAGGTGGGGCAAGGGCTGACCAGATCTAGGTGCCTCTGCTGTGCTGTCACCTGAGCTCATGAGGGAGCATGGTCCTGACCACCCTTCAGACACTGAGGGTACCTTGCTCTGTGGTTGCCTTGGATGACAGTTACCAAAGAGACACCCTGAAGACCTTTGTGATAAAAATTATAAAATGAAACAGTTACGCTTTGTGAAATTTCTGCCCAAGGAAATACATCAGACTTTGCAACTAAAATGATAAAATCTTTGCTGTGTGTGGTAGTTCTGACATTTCTTACATTTCATCTGGTTTTCTGGGTTTTGAGCCCACAGAGAAAGCAGATAACTTTTCTGCTAAGCAAGGTTGGTATTACATATGATAAGTGCATCCCTAGCATTTCAATGTATTTGTCACAAAATCAGCCATAGTAAATAAGGTGAAACTGCCAATTAAAACAGTAGGCAGCAAGTGCAGCCTTTTGGGTTTGTGTGTCTTGCAGGAGCTATGTTTGTTTGTTTCTCCTGTCATCAGTGCAGGCAGAGTACTGAAAAGTGCTGTGACCACCCTCCCCCCCCACTCCCAATGCCTTCAAATGAAAGAAACTCGAATGCCTTAAAGCAAATCACACTACAAAGGAGAGATGTGGCAGCAGGTCAGGCACCAGGGTGGCAAAGGGAAGGTTGGAAGACAAGCCAGCGAGTCTGAGGCAGGCTCAGGGACTGAACCACTACCTGATGGACAGTCTGTGTTTTGTCTGCAGCAGTGCTGCAGAAGCAGGTTCTGGGAGTGAGATGTGGAGTCATCCCTGCTGTAAACCGATGGGAGCACGGGATCTAAATAAAGACCGTCTCTTCTGCCCTTCACATTTCACATAGAAGCAGATGCCTGGGTTTTGTCTTGTGACACAGAGCTGTTGGGACAGGAAAATAGGTTATCTTCAGCCCACTTCTGTTTCTGTAGGTAAAGAGGTCAGCCTTTGGATGAGAAGGACCTTGGTGAAAAGTTACATTTCAGCTTCCTTTTATCACACTGTAATCACCTTTCAGTCTCGTCAGATTTATTTACTTCTGTGAAAAGCTTTTCTTTGGTCTTAGGTACCTTTTGTGTGGGAATTATCAAAGTAGGCTGAGAAAGTGTGGCGCAGTCTCAGATCAGGGCTGGTTCTTCACAGTGGAGAGTTTCAGCAGGGGAGGGAACTGTGCCACTCACAGCTCTGGGGCCAGGGTCTGCCTGCCGTGTAACACCAGCATGCTGCCCAGCACCACATCCCTACACTCCTTGGGGAACATGGAGCCCTCCATTAATGTCAACAGTCTGTACACATTTCAGCAGCCACTGGTATATTTTAAAGATTATGTGTTCTAATGTGCAACAGCTGCCACACTGCCAAAACACTAATGTGAGGCTGTGTTTACAAATGTTACTCCCTGTTTAGTCAAGATTAAGTACCTTAAGAACTGCAAAAACAACAGTTTTCTAGCCAGCCAATGCAGAAAGAGTTTGGAAAATATAACCAAATCACTGAAAGACAGGCTCTGAGGATGACAGACAGATGTAGCAAGCTAAACTTCAGAAGAGAGAAACCATATGCTGAGCTTGCCTCCAGTGCAATGCCCACACAGCAGTATCAGACCAAAAGAGTGGTGGAGCTGCTGACTGGAAAGCCTCAAGATTCTCATGTCTGTTCCTGTAACTTCCATACAGTAATACCTATCCATCCAGTAACAAGGCTGTTTCTTCACACAGAACAATGTTCTTAATTTTTTGTCTTTTTATAATATGTAGTTTCCCAACTTCTTCTTACCACAAGATGGAACAAAGTGTCATTCAGTAATAAAACAGATGGAATTTGGTTTAAATATTAATTGATCTCACTGGACTTCAGTTCAATTCAGCTATATCCTACTTTTGCCAAAAGAAAGGTATATATGGAATAGATTCCTTTGTTTTGGGTCTCATTTTTACAGTATCAAAGGACAGTGATGTCTTTTGGGAAATATTTTATTCCCACAAATCTTTTTGTGCTTATAGAAGTGATGATGTGAATAGCTGTCATCCTACATAACTGGAAGAGAGGAAGACAAGCACTTTCATGTCCTCCTTATGATTTACCTACAACAACAATTTAGAAGAACAGTTTATCTAGATCAATTTAAATAAGTCTGTAAGTATTGTTACTTATTGTCCAATGCTAGGAATGAAGGATAGGCATTCATCAAATTCAGATATTTTTGAACAGAGAAATTTATTCCATTTGTTAATGTACAGATATGAATGAAATTAAGTTTTTTGACAGAGACATACCACAAGAACACACATGATCAAGGTGCAACTTGAAGAGAATACTACTTACTAGGGCAGGAAATTAATAGGTCCAACACCGGAGATAAATTCGAGTACAACACAGGAGATAAATTCTAGTACAAAATTAACAAGTTAATTTCCTAAAAACTAGTCTTACAGCTGGAGGACAGATAAACCTCTCTTTTCAGAATAGACCAGAAGAAAATACATTTATGGGAAATTCCAGAGCTTATGAAGTTTTGCAAAAAAATCAGATTGTCCATGAAAATTAGGTTAGAATAGCTGCAAAAGTTAGTCTTCTTCCACAGGACATTTTGTTTATTAAATGCAACTTGAATCCAGAAGTTAATTGAATGTCTTTGTTTAGATACTTCTTCCTCTGGAGGCACAAATTTCCCTTTGTGGCCACAGATCACCCTAATGATTGGTGGGAACTCTGAAAATGTTTCTGAGCATATCCTAAGTATAGCAAGAAAGGGAGCCTTTAATCCATTAGACAGAGTTCTGTTCTGGGACGTGTGAGAGACTGATTTATTTATATTTCATAATATTTCATTATTATATATTTAATATAATTTAATTCTTTGATTTGATGAAACCATATGACTTCATTCTTTGATTATATGAAATGTAAATAAATCAGTTTCACTGATTTATTTATATTTCATAGAATCAAGGAATGATTTGGGTTGGAAGGGACATTGAGAATTGTTAAGTTCCATTCAGCTTCCTTTAGTTCCAACATCCTTGCCGTGGGCAGGGACACCTTCCACTAGTCCAGGTTCCTCAGAACACCATCCTTCTTTTGGCCTTGAACACTTCCAGGAATGGGGCATTCACAGCTTCTCTGGGGAACCTGTGCCAGTGCCTCACCACCTTCACAGTAAAGACTCTTTCCTTAATATCTAATTTTACCCTGCCCTCTTTCAGTCTAAAGCCATTCTCCCTTGTCCTGTCACTCATGCTCTTGTAAAAAGTCTCCATCTTGTTAAGTTTGCTTCAGGTACTGGAGGGCCACGATTAGGTCATCCTGAAACCTTCTCCAGGCTGAACAGTCCCAATTCTTTCAGCCTTTCCTCACAGGAGAAGTGCTCCATCCCTCTGATCATTTTGTTCTCTTGTGTACTCATCCTCCTCTGGACTCACTCCAAGAGATTGATGTCCATCCTGTGCTGGGACCCCAGAGCTGGATGCAGCGTTCCAGGTGGGCTCTCAGCAGAGCAGAGCAGAGGGGCAGAATCCCCTCCCTGGCCCTGCTGCCCACCCTGCTTTGGATGCAGCCCAGAACACGTTTGGCTTTCTGGGCTGGGAGTGCCCATGGCTGGGCCTCTCATCCTCCAGCACCCCCAAGTCCTTCTCCCCAGGGCTGCTCTCAATTTCAGTTCTTTTTCTTTGATTTATTGACATGTCCAAAGAGGGTGCAATTTCTTACACTTATTTTAAGTCATATGGTTTATTATTTTCACTTTTCACAGCTTTATCATGAATATGTACCTGTTTGTGTATGACTTAATGCAATTCTGTGGACATTCTTGGATATTTACAAATATGATCATCAGGTTCATGACATTTGGAAAAGGTAAGGCTCCTTCTCTATTTTTCTTGGACATTTTAAGCGGCTGTGACAAACACACAGAAATACCAAATTAGAGATAAAGTTAAGATTCTAAACATGTGTATGTCCAATACCAGGGATTGTATTTCAATCAGAAAAGCACTCGATTAAAAATGCTGGACAAATTACTTGTGCCTGTCTTCTACCCTTGCCACACTGGGAATGAAGCTCTTGTTTTGCTAATGAACTTTAATATTCAGTGGCATACTAGTAACATTTGAGTTAGACATAAACCTTAATGTCTAGGCCCAGTCATTATGGCAAATATTAATCTTACTGAAGCCACCAGGAAAGAATATCTTTGTGGTTATTACACATGACCCTCTATCTCCAAAAATGTTACAATAGATTTCTCTTTCTGTTCTCTGGGGCTGAGACACAAAAATAGAAAACTAGTGACTGGAAATTTAAAATTACTTATAATGGTGGACAGTATTAGGCATATAAAATGCCTACTTTCTGGACTACTTGTTTTCAGATACAGGCAGGAACTCAACATCTTTTAGTGTTTAGAAATTCTTTATGCATTTTCTCAATATTTTCTCCTATTTAGAAATATCCTAAAGCAGTATCTCTAAACCAAGACATCCTGCACAGTGTTTGCCTATGCTTTAAGTACAGGGAATTTAATTATTTTCTCAGCTTCCTGCCTCTGTGTCAGAGCCACACATACACAGAGCAGATTGCCTCCTCCACTCCCTGAAGCTTTTCTTTTGCTACCCAGAAGTTTGGTACTGTACTTCTGGTCACCTCCAGTGATAGCATAAAAGCAAACCCAGTAGTTGCTCCAGACTTTAACTGTATAACCATCATCTAATCTTGCTCTTAATTTTGTCTTTAGATTCACTGGCTGACACGTTTCACTCCATAGGACTTGTAATGCGCCTTTGCCAGTTGTTCTCTGTATTGGAGATCCTGCACATCCTCATCGGCATTGACAAAAGCCGTCTCCTCCCCAGGTTTTTGCAGGTAAGTTTGTTCTCAAAGCTCTCCTTTTGTCACCGACACACATCAGCCATGGCTGCCCCTGGGGACAAGCCCAGGCTGAACTACCCTGAATGTTGCACCTGGACCCTTCCTCAGGCAGCCTCGCTTCCTGGTAGTTTCCTAACTGCAGAAATTGCTTCCTCAGAACTGGCCTGGTTGGGAAAGAACTGTCCTGTCAACCTTTTTCTTTTTGAGTGAAACTGAATAGTGAGTACCCTATGGTTGGTCCCCAGTATGGACCTAGAAAATGTTGAGATGAGTGACCACCAGCAGAAGTATGTCAGTGGCCAATTGCAGTAATCAAACTAAACTCCAGGAGAGCTTGGTCCTTCTAAGTTTCTCCCTACATAACCTCCCAGCATCTCTGTAGTCCCTCCAAGTTATTTTCCCTTCCTTCCAGAGGTGATGTACTCTCTTCTTTTTCCCTGACTTCCAGTAAGTTCTCTGTTTAACCAAGCTGGTCTTTTTCCCTAATAGTTTGTCATATAGTTTGTCATATGTTCAGCTGAAGGCAGAAAACCAGCCAAATCATCGCATGCTATAGCAGAAAGAAAGATGATACTCTGATGATTTCCTTGCCATGCTTTTTTTTTTTTTTTTTTTTTTTTTTTTTTTTTTTTTTTTTTTTTTTTTTTTTGGGTTTTTTTTTTTTTCCTTTTTTCCTTTTGGGTGCTTATTGCATTGGAAAAAGGAAAATGATTACTTGAATTTGCCTTCAAACCTTTTCAGTCCTTAGTATTTGAGTAATGGTGAAACTCGTATTTCTCTATTTCTCTCAGCAGTCAGAAGGCAGAAGACCAAGACCAAGGGTAGTTAGTTATGTTTTTAGTTTCCTGGATCCCATTTTTGTTAGATGACGTATTCATGGGTGAAGATGTTCCTCTTTTCAAGTCTTCATTAACTGTCTAAATAACTAATTAACTAATTGACTAATACAGATCTCTGTTCTTTATACTGTTCCCTAAGTATGGTAGCAAATCCATCAAAATGTAAAGAACTGCTTTTCCATGCCTAAATCCACAGGCTTTGATGCTATTCTAGCGGAGAAAGAAGACTCCTATCTAGTATGACCTGTAACAAATCTCACGTGTCTTGGGAAGAAGAGCACCCTGCTCTTAGTCATTAAAGCAAGCCTTGTCCTGACAGAGTTTACACATTCCCCAGCCCTGACATAGTCTGTTTCTTTCCTAACCAGATTTACACAAGGCAGAGATCAGGGAGGCCTGCACAAACAGTATTCTCTTGCCACAAATGACATTAGTATGAAACAGATATTCTGAGCAAGAAAACTGTGACCTTTCTTGGGCAGTGCAGTTTGTGCAGTGCTCTCCTGGAAAACATGGAGAGGCAGCTCAGGGAACCCTATGGCATTGTGACTCTCAGTGTTCACCTCACACCAAATACAGTTTTGGATCCTTACTTGGTTCTTTCCCCAGCTGCACTCTCACCATGAACAACTCTGTTCCCTTGGTGTTAGCAGCAGCCTCATGCAGTCCAAACAGGATATATAAGCTCTTTGGTGGAGATTCTGCTGTGCCATGGGCTGCCTGCTTTTGCTGAGAGTATAGGTTAAACAGCTGTATGCCACCACTACTCCCACATGCCTCATCACACTTTCATCACTGCCTCTTAGGAAGAAAATAATGGTATATTTTCCACAATGAACTAGAGAAAGACAGTTGGTTAAGAGGTGTTTACCTTGCTACAGCTTACTAGCCTGCTGCACAGTCAGGGCACTGATAAAGGTGCAAGAATTTGAGAGGAGTTGCCGGGTTCTGTGCTCCCATCCCCGTTCCAACTCAGAGCTTAAAACATACCCTTGTATGCATCCCTCATTAACAGGCATATGCATGCACATCCACAGTGAAGTTCACTTGGGGTGATCACTAGGATGAGAGAACAGCTGGCTCAGGCAATGTCAGGGAAGAACATGGGTGGGGGTGCCTCATAGTGGCAGGTTGTTCTGTAGGAATTATAGCAAATACAAGATGTAAATGAATCCTTGAGTGAAAGATTTCTCCCTAAGGCGTTTGTCGTGGTTTAGTAGCATTTAAGAAAAACACTTTGAGATACATGATACAGATAGTGGAAAAACAAACGCAGAGAAGTCTTCTGGAAAAACTTATTGAGGGACAAAGTCTCAGGCCACCAGGCACCTGAGAAGACCAAAGTAGATCAAGGCCAACTCACTCCATGAAAGAAAGATGAGTCCTGTGTGATGCATGTGCTGGGGTAAGGTGAGGCAGGGGATGGTCACAAAGCTGGAGCAAAGGGATGTCTCCCAGGCCATTTACACCTTAAATAATTGGACAGGAGACCGTGTCACATGTGATTGTTGCCACCAAAACAGAAGGTAATTAAATGTGTTAGTCTGGCTAGGGAGTAAAGGCTGAAAGGACTTATACCATAGCAAGGAGAGAGGACAGGTCTAAGAAAAGACTGGTGTTTTTGTGAAACAAAGAGCAGTTCTTCATCCTGTGCAAGCAGATTGGATTTACCAAATCAAAAGCAAGGTACGATGGTTTTGTGATAAAACCCTTTTTTTTTTTTTTTTTTTTGGTTGTTGTTGTTGTTGTTGTTTGGGTTTTTTTGTTTGTTTTTTTTTTCTTCATCAATATACACTAAATTGAAGAACTATGTAAGCATTTCAGGTACTGAGTACAAAATTGCACAGTCATGGTTATTAAAAAATGGAAGTGAATGTGCTATTTTCTCTAGCCAAATTTGCTCTGTTTCACTTACTTGATTAAAAAACTCAGTCTGCCTTCCAGAAACTTATACTACCCTACAGAACCTGCTTATCCTATTAGAGATCAGTGTCAGAAAAGGAAGGTAATTCCAATTTGATTTTAAAGAAGGAATGAAAACTGAAAACATTATATTTATGCTTTGTGATATGTCAACACATGCTTCCTTTTTATGAATGTGAAAACAGAGAACTTGTAGTTTCGTGCTTTATTTTTTTATTTAAAACATGAGAATAGTTACAGAGACCATCTCATCTTCATTTATGCGAGGACAGATCATTCATACAGGAAATGATCCATGGCTGAGCAGCAGCACATGCATTACATCTACGTGTGTGTAGAACCCTGCCTCTTCAGTTGCAGAAAATGTCCCCAGCCTTTGATTAACCTCTGCATTTAGCTTTGATTTGTGTGGGTTACGAAAAGCTCGGAGTGCTATGAAAGGAAAGAGAATAAAGGCAAGCAGGCAGGCGACCTGCTGATTTGTGCAGAGAAAGAGGTAGGATGCCACTGTCTGTCCTCATGGGGATATCAGAATTGTCCTGAGCAGCCAGCTCTGTGTCCTGCCCCACAGAAGTGCTCCAGACCAAGGTCACATCCTTCCAGTCTCAGTGTCTGGTGGCTGCTTTGTGCAGCCCATTGCTTGCCAGATGAGACCGCAGTCTAACAGGAAGAAAATACCTCAAGACAACCAGTTTGTGCCATGTCCAATTTCCTGTTCTTGCAGGTGCTTAATAGGCTTTATAGTTTGATTACTGGGCTTCTTCATGTGTAATTAGCAAAGCTGCATGCCTCCATTGCTCCCCTTCCCCAGTATGAATCTCTGATGGAGGCAATCTGCTGAACCCCAGGTAGGGGTTCTCAGTGCCCCATGTTTCTGCTTGTATCTTGGGGAGAGAAGAAAATCCACAGCTTCTTCCACTTCCAGATTATAAGATTGAATTGTGGGTCTCCATAGTCATTCTGTCACTGGCCAGCACATATCCATTTCAAACTGGAGTTTCAAACTGGAGTTTGAAATGGTAACTACCTTTCTACTGCTTGTCCTCTTTCTCACTGAAATGGGATTGGATCCCAGTCATTTACCCCATGCCGTTTTCTAGCACATTTCCTCCTAGCCATTTTTTGAAAAGTGAGTGACTATTTGGAAATCTTCCAGCTCTGACATCTAAGGACATGTCCATCTTTCCCCTGTCATGATGAAGCCCTTGGTCTCTAGCACAACTACCTGTGGCAATCCCCTGAAATAGCTCTTGTATTAAAAATAATGCAGAACTCTCCACATCTCAAGTCAGATTTTAGGGTCTGTAACAAACTGCCCACACCACCAATGCTGCATTCTTTACCACTCTACATCTAACAATTTTAACTCAGATCCTATTTTATCTGTTCTCTCCAGCACACTATCCCACCCAGTGCTCACATGGCTTTTATCTTTGTTTTGATTTTCTTCTTGTGATGGCTGCCCTGCTGTGTTTCTTGTATCTCTGTTCTATCTGGTTTCAGATCTGCATCAGTACTTCCAGTTCCCCCATGTTTTCACTGTGTTCCCCAGCATCAGTGTACAAACACAGGACATATTAGCTCTCATTTTCTGTTTCCTGACCCATCTATACAGAAGTCTGCCAACATCTGACCTTTTTAAAAATCAGTTCCTCAGTTAGGGACCTATGGGATCAGCAACACAAGATGACAGTCATAGGAGGGTGAGAAGCAGGAAAACCACTTTTAGCTGTTGTGGCCCCTCAGTGCTTTCCAAGATGAGGAACCAGATCCCTGATTGATAGACACGATCTCTTTCTGTATGAAAAATTGCTCTGATGTAATTTTGCTGAATCGTGAAGGCCGCTTTATTTGACAGGTGTGGTTTGCGATAAAAGAGAGTTCATGACCAGAATGGTCCATGCAGGAACCCATAAATATTACGTAGTAAAACTACCACCAAACTTGCTGAGAGCCAAAATTCTTTGTTTAAGGTAGGAGTCTGGGGAAATCAATGAATAATAACAATGCTTAAAAAAACAGCCTTGGTAATCCACTTTAATTTTGTAACTGTTAACTGACTTGACATCACAACTTGTGAAAGAAATAATTACAACTAACATACCTTATGGAAGACATGGCATTGGGTAAAAAAATCCAACTTAATGAAGCTATATCAATTTATACCAACTGCTTAGGTGTATGTTTTCTACTTTCAATACCAGAGTGTAAATCAGAGTGAATTGTTACTGTTCTAGGACAGAACTGTTGGAGTACTGATTAATTTACTTTACAGGGCAGGGCGTGGATACTGTTAGAAAAGTTGTCAGGAAAGCTGCAAAAACACACACTTTTAAAAATTTCTTGAGTTTTAATATTATCAAAGTATTTATTTTAAGCTGGAGACACTGCCTATTTAATCCACTTTATCTTTTCATTTGTGGGTTGGATAAAGTTCAACCACTAGAAAATGCTAGGACATAAATACTATGGCAATCATTCACATAAGTGACAAGCTTAAGCTCACTTCCCGTAACCAAGAATAAGATGGAAAGAAAGATAAGGAATCCTACTTTTCCTCCTTCTTTCTGCAAATCTTACATGAAAGAGATTCCTTGGGACACAGATTTCCAAGATATAAGGAACAGATCTGGGAGTGCAAGATTAGTACTTTCTGGCTTATGACCCCCCTCAAGAAGGGCCCTCTGTATCCTACTGCCTCCCACACAGCCTACAAGCAAGGAAGGTTATTCCTGCCAGCCCGCCAGGTGGTCAGGTGCAGCAGGAGTAGTCCTTGCTTCCATGACCTCTCTGGGCTCACCCACAGGTTTCCTTAGCTACAAACACAAGCCATCCCAGCTGGCAAGCCAACTTCCACACATACCATAACAGTGCTTTGATGGTACAGCCAGTGGTGTCCAGTTCTCTTTGCTGAAAGACCCTGAACAAAAGCAGGCCATGAAACAAAATATTCACTGCTGATTTTGTGTAAAGAAAACTGTATCCATTTGTGGCCTTCTATTTTGCCAAAATGCCACAGAAATAACAGTTAGAGAAGGTGCTAACTGAATTCAGAGTTTTCTTTTCTTTTCAGATCACTGAGAGAATAATTATTTTATTTGTCGTGATCAACAGTCAGGAAGAAGTTCAAGGGAAATATGTCGTCTGTGTTTTATTTTTCCTTTGGAATTTATTAGATGTGGTCAGGTAAGGAGTCAACATCAAAACCATGAGGGTAAAACGGGTTATTCTTGCCAGCTGAACTCTACCCCCATTGTGCAGCAGGCTCATTTAATTGTTTCAAATTTGGCAGAGCATATTATCCATTTTTAAATAAAAGCTTGAACTTTTAGAGTTACCTAATGATTTTTACAAAAATCCACATGGTTAAGACTTAGAGTAATTTACAGATGTAAGACAGATGCATTAACATTTGTAGTTCAAGGGCTTTGATGCTTTTAACAAAAATTTAGAAGGCAATCCTAACTACATTCTGGAAACAGCAATTCCTGAAACCATCCTGGTTGCCATTACCATCCTGTTGCTTTATTATTTTAATTTTTTATCCACTTTGATCCATGATTGACAGCACAGTAAGGTAACACCAGCAGAACTTCTTGCAAAGGCAGAAAGACTATTCTGGGTTAATCGCACAGTGGTTTCCAAAAAGCCAAGAGCTCCTGCTGCAGGAGACTGAGAGTTTTGGTGTAGAAGGGCATGTATCACACCACAAGAACAACACATACTTCTCATTTGTGATGTAAGCCTCAGTCTGTAGACTTAGATCATGTACATACAGAATTAAGAAGCATTTTAAGAAGACACAGCACTCACAGCAACTCATGTATTACAGCAAAACTTTTTTTCCTGATAAAATGCCTTTCTGCTAATTTAAATATATTGCTTAGGGCACTGACTGAAGAATATAGTTTTAGACAGCAAAGGAAACTTATGCTGTAAAAGAGATCTGAAACAGGAAGTGTCAGAGAGAATTAATAAAGATTTTTAAGTCAGCTTCAGAGTATTTCAAAATACATTTTAATAGGCTGCTGCTTGTATTAATTATTTTGATTATAGTTCCATCCCATTTCTTCTTGAAGTTTGTAAAACTAAAACAGTAGAACCTAATCTGAAATGAAAGGGTTCAGTGCAGCTGGAGAAATGCCAACAGTATAAACAATATTTGCTGTGAAGTCTTGTTAGTGCATAATAGCACCATTGACGCATCATTATTTTCTACCCTTGCTAAAGAACAGTTAAACACCACGGCAGCAACAGCAGTTGTTTAACAGGAAAGTTCCTGTGGTCTATAGTGGCAAATTACCAATTCAAATAAACCATAGTACAACTCATACAAATTTAGAATTCTTACCTGATTTGTCTTACAGCATCCATGACAAATCCTAGTATCTCAGAGAAGTATTCATGTCTAAAAGTGCATAGGGATCTTTCCCATCCCTTAGCCAGCTACTCTTGAAGTATTGCAAGTTTTTCCACATAAAGTTTCAGGGACATAAATTTCTCTGAGGGACTATTTATTATGCATCATGGCTAGTGATATAGTGAGAGCAAGTTCTGATCTTTCCTGCTTATACCATAACAGCCCAGGGAATTGTATAAAGAGGGAGTAGCTGTTTCCTTTTTGTATTGTGTTGAGATTCAGCCTTAAGAGCAACAAGAATAAAAAATGGAGACAATCCTGAGGTTGCAGAGGGCAACCTTGAGAGACAATGGTCCGTTTTCAAAGGTCCACTCTTCTATAGTCCAAGTATTATGCAAAATTAATCAAATTAATAAATAAAAAGGGAATACAGGTGTGTTTAACACTAGTTTTATCTGTCAGAAAATCTTGGGAAACAGATTTACACATGTCTAGCAAGTTCACAGTGCAAAGTCTTTCAGCTGATCAAAAGTGCAATCAGACATATTTCTCCAGTGTTTGGAGAGCTGCTGTACCACTTTAAGATCAATCCAAGATCAGGTCACCTTTGGAGACTGAAGTACTAAGCATTCTGTTCTCCCAATAAGCAGCAGTAGCAGTGGCAGTAAAAATAAAATGCTGCAATACACTGGTGAGCAACCGCTTTTTTTGGACCTACTACCCCTGCTGAGGTCCAGGAGAGGGACAGATGTACTACAGGTTATGTACCTGCAATTGCCCTCTTGTTAAACCTTCTCCAGCAGTGATACAGCTAGCTCAGCAGTCATAAATCAGGACTGTCTCAGTCCCAAGCAACAGTGATATTCTGCCTGCCCCTCTCAGTTGCAACATCCGCACCTGAAATCCATTTTCTGATGGACCAGTGTGAAATCCTGCTTGATTCTGATACAGCTTTTTGTCTGGAGGGCTTTATTGCTGTCTGCCTGCTCTACAGTAGCACCACAGATAACTCTTCTGAAAAAATGAACCATCTACTGTCAGGCACTGGAGTCTGAACGAAAGCTGTTGCTGGCTTTGAAATTTACTTAAACAGCTCCAAGCTCTTCTGCAATTCCTTTGAGTTTTCCAATAGCGTATCTTTATTCTAAAGACATCATAATTTCCTCTGGGCCCATCTGCTTTCTTCTTATTGCAGGTACACTTACAATATGTTGGCAAGGATGGGCATATACTACCTACCACTAACATGGCTCAACTTCTCACTGTGCATCCCGCTTTATCCTCTTTCAGTTCTGGCTAAAGGTAAGGAGTTGGGAAGGGTACCAACCACTTGCTTCCTTAATATTCTTCAGTAAAATGTGATCACTTCAATTGCTGTTTGTGTTTAACATAGTTCCTCATGTGTTGCCAAAGCTGTCATAAATGTTCATGTACCTTCATATTAACCTCTGAGTCACCTCTGTCTCTCTTTTCTGTTATTTTTTCTTTAATAGGGACTATCTGGAGTTTGGGGTTGTGTGTCTGGTACGTTTTAGGGTTCTTGGTGTTACATTTTTAAAAATCTGGGAGAATGTTCTTTTTGTCTAAGTAAAGCAGAAAGATACCCTCACAAAAGACAAATGGATTCCTCCCTTCCAGACTTAGTATACTAGACAGCATGTTCCAGAGTTTCTCCCCCACTGAGGCTGACCTTACTGGCTCAGGCCATACTTAGCAGGTTATCATACTTGCACTGAGAACTCTGCCCACTGAAAACACACTGAAAGTACTTGTTTCTGACCTTTTTATCTTTATTTATAATAACAATAATAATAATTTCTGAATTAATGATTATTTATTAATTATTGTTAGTGTATAGAATATATATATTTAATTCTAGTATTTAGAGCAATTAGCACCCCCAAACCTACAAAACTGAACTCAAGGAGAAAACATGCATATGTATATGAATGCATATATATATATATATATATATATATATATATATAGGTATATAAAATATAAAAGGTAACTGACTTGTTCATTAAGCTTTTTGATGATCTGCTTCCTTTCGACTAAGAATTTACTATGTTTTTACAGGATTTGCAATTTGTGTATCAGTGCCTTATTTTGAATCCTTTGGCACATACTCTATCAAGCTACCATTTCCATTCACCTTCTCAATCTACTTCCCCTATGTTCTGAAAATATACCTGCTAGTGCTCTTTGCAGGTAAGTATCTCCTCTTCCAGAGAGCTGGGTCTCTACACAACTGGGATGCTTTTGCAACAAAAAAATCAAATCTGTACTGGGCCTTTCACAAAGTCTAACTCTCTTTGCTACATCTCCTGCAGGCCACTGCAGGAAAGTGCATCACTACCTGTTTTGATTTCCAGTATCTTTCAAATATAAATAGTTAAATATGCAAGATACACTATGTGTATGGTACATAAAAACACAAACCTATAGAAGTTGTTTCAGTGATGCTAGCCTTACAGCTATTTAATGAAATGTCCTTTTTTTTTTAATTTTTATTTTTAAATCAATTCCCATTTGATCATACGCTGGTTCTGTGCAACTGTTCTTCACTCATAACACCTAGCTGGAATGAAAAATTATACCTAAATTAAGACTTTTACAGCATGATTATTTAAAGGGATGAAAAAACAAAGCTACTCCAAAACTTGCATGTAAACAGGTCCCTTCTCCTTCTCATCAAAACACTTTGGAAAAATTTCAACTGAATTTAGCTGCATCATACAAAAGGCTTTGTTCTGTCATTGGCTTTAATGTGAATTTGCAGGATCTCATCTTTATGATGGAGTGTTCTAAGTACATGGAAGGAACTGTGCAAGGTTGCCAGAGGAAGGCTCTTACAGTCCCATCTAAATTAATTGTAGACAGTTTGAATTCTACTCCTTTGTTCTTACACCGTTTTGTGTTTTGATTCAGGTATGTGCTTTATCATCCGGAACCTTTTCTCTGAGAGAATGGCACACCTAGGGACAGGCAACATCAAAAATAAAAGAAGCTAAGTTGATATTTTGTTTGGAAGGACAAAATATATTCCTAGGGGATTGCTGCACATCATAGTTAAAAACAAACTGGAAAGATTTCTCAATGCAAAACTCCTCTTTGCATGAACATTATCTGGCTGTGTAGAATTTTCAGAAAAGGTGGATCTCTTGACTGCACCTCAAAAATACAGCAGCTTTTGGAAACTTTTGAATGTGTTTTGAAAACTTTTTGACTTCAAGTGGCCAGAGTTTTTTAAACTAATTTTTTTTCTAATATATGTTACAGAATTCTGAAAAAATTGAAGCGTGCCACAACTCACTGCCACACCCTTATTTCAGTGTTAATTTTTACCTATAGCTACAGATACTCTGTAATGACAATATCATTTAATCTGTAAGATTACTTTATACTAGGCCAACGTGTATGTACCTCATATATAAATGCTAAATTGGCTGGAACTGGAATCTCTCAAGGAGCAGAAGTCAGTACCTTTGCAACCTAGAGACTAACATGCTGATTAACCCAGGCATTCACTAAGGATCCTTCACATTCTGGCTCCATCCTTCAGTTGTCAAAAGACAGTTCCAGAAAATGTAGCTAAATCAGAAAGGCAAGTGTTAAGGTACTCTACTATATATTCAAGGGGAAGTTTAAGGGTCAGAAATAAACACTTGTAATCATGTGTTTGGCATGTCAGTCTCTTCTCCCACAATTATTTTCTTCCATGCTGAACAGCAGACAGATATGTGCAAAAGAAGTGTGATGAGGTCAGGTCAAATAATATGTTGTTCCTAAAAGGGAACTGAATTACTGTCAAAAGCCATGTGCAAAATTCTAGGCATTTTACTCAATTGTATTGCTGCTTATACTTCTCTAGGATAAACTGTGAGAATGCAACTAGAAGATAAGCTTTTCAAAGTTTGCCAATGAGGAATATACACAGCAACCCAGTGGATTATACAGGCAAGAATAGCCAAATAATTCCTTAGAGGCTGGCAGGAGCTTTTCTGATTTTTCATCTGTATTGGTTATCACCTACATTTCAATTCAAGCATGTGGGGGAGAAAAGTGAGGTTGTTTTTTTTTTTTTTTTAGCTGTTTGAAAACTGTGGGAAAGGAGCCTAGATAGTAGGAAAAGGAGAGAAGGTAATATTTAAAGGGAAACTAAATACTGTTAAAATATGAAGAGGCTTTTTCCTGTATGACTTTTCAAACCACGCAGCCTGAGGTTATATAAGGAAACAGTGAAGCTAAATTAATTTGTTTTGAAAGGTCACCTACTATAATTTTTATTTATTTAATAAATGTGGCATACAATGCCTATAGACTATTTTGACCACCAAGTATTTACAGACCATAAGGAACAAGATCACGCTTAGAATAGTATAGTGACAACCCTGTATTAGTTTTTTTCAAACCACTGTAAACAGAAATTTGGAACTTAGTAGAGAAACAGGAGTGCTTTCACTCAGGGCTTCTGTCTGACCCAAACTGATTCAAGTGTGAACAGTGTTAACAAACATATAGAGCAGCTGAATAAGATGACAGTTTTGAAGACAGCCATAGTAAGTCCACATTAAACCACTGTATAGCTTGCTAAAGTTGAAACATGAAAATTTTTTCCTTGGAAATTCAATCCAATATGCCAGAAACAGCTGGTTCCAGCCAGTTCCAAAATGGAGCCACTGCAGGACAGCAAAGATGATGGCATGGCTCCTCTCTGAAAACTTAAGGTAAGAAATATTATGCAGCAGCTGTGAGAAGAAGAGTAAGAAAAATGTAAGAGTAAGAAAAAAAAGACACTGTAGACACCAAGGTCAGTGGAGAAGATGAAGAGCTACTCTAGGCACTGCAGCAGATTTCTCAGTGGGCCATGAAGAAGACCATGGTGGACCACGTTGTCTCTCTGCAACCCATGAAGAAACACACCAGACAAGATATCCACACGGCAGCCTGTGGAGGACCCCAGGCTGGAGCAGGTGGCTGTGCCCTGAGGGAAGCTGCAGCCCATGGAGAGCCCACACAAGCAAAGCAGGAACAGTGGCCCACTAAGGACCCCTACTGAGGTAGCTTTTTCCTAAAAGACTGTACCACATGCTCTATGCTAGAGCAGTGCTTGAAGGGCTGCAGCTTGTAAGAAGAAACCATGAAGGAGTGTGTCCCATAGGAGGGACCCCATGCTGGAGCAGAGCAACAGTGAGAAGACAAACAAGTAGCAGAGATTAAGGTTTATTACCTAAATGCAATCCCCACATCCACCTTGTACTGCCTGGGGAGGGAGTAGGTAGAAAATGCAGGAATGGAGGCGTAAAGTGAACCTAGGAAAAAGGGAGGCATAGGGGGAGGTGATTTTAGTTTTGCCTTTTTTCTTTCCATCCTACTCTATTTTTAATTGGCAATAAATTTTTCTTTGACAAGTTGAATCTGTTTTGTGACAGTGAATAGTAAATGGTCACTCTATCTTGACCTGTGAACTTTCTCATCCTCTTTTCTCCCTGTTGGAGGAGGGAGATGAATGTCCTGTTGAGGAGATGGGACTGAATGGACATCTGGAAGCCAGCTGAGGTCAAACCTATAAAGCCATGTTTATTGTTTTACTGTTGTTAAAAAATGTTATGTCTGGAGTCTTACAGCTGGGTAAAATGCTGGAATAGGAAAAGGATTCTTTAAAATTCACTATGGAGAGGTCCCCCAAGCATAAACTGCATGAAAAAGGCATGAAGCTCATGACAGATGACTTCCCCACCTCTTTGTGGTACAGAGGTAACTTGGGTCAGACAGTTGGCAGATTGAGGCAGTCAGCCTTCCATATTTGACCACAAAAGACCACTGTAACTACAGCTCCAGTGCCTCACCTGCGTTCCTGGAAAAGCTGAGAACTGGGCAGGCAAAAAGATGTTTGAGACAATGGCTTTTATGACAATGAGTTGTACTTCAGTAATTGTAGCCTGTTAGGAAAGGGTGGGATCCACCTGTCTAAAAAGGGCATGAGAAGCTCTGGCAGCAGATTGGTTAATTTGGTGAGATGGGCTTTAAACTGAATGACTTGGTTGGGGTCCAAAGTGGCAATACTCAAGCCATTGCTTTCTCCTGGGGAGTGGGCCATGCCAGCCAGGGCAAGCTTGGCTGCCTCAAGATGAGAGTCTTAGGGCTAACCACATCAAAGGTATATATGGATATGGGGAATCTTCTTACACTCCTCCTAGGGAGCCTGGATGCTCAGCTGCCTCCCTGAAGTGCCTGTACACAAATGCTCCAAGCACAGGGAATAAACAAGAAGAACTGGCAATCTACGTGCAGTCACAGAGTTATGCTCTCATTGCAATTTCAGAGACATGGTGGAATAGCTCACCACTGGAATGTTGTCATGGATTCCTGTGTACTTTTCAGAAAGGACAGGTCAGCGAGGTGAGGTGGTGGAGTTGGTCTTTATGTGAAAGAGCATCAAGCTCTGCCCAGGGACAGACAAGGAGTTGAGAGCTTATGGGTAAAGAATAAAAGACAGCCAAAAATGGGTAACACTGTTGTGGGTGTTTACTACAGGCCACCTGAGTTGGACAAGGAAGCTGATGAGGCTTTCTGGAGGTAAGTTCTGGAGGTAAGTTACATATCTTTTGAGGTACCTGGAAGTAGCCTTGAGATCATGGGCCCTGGTCCTCCTCCGAGAGTTCAACAATCCTGGTAATTGTTGGAGGCAAAACATGGCTCAGCACACAGTCCAGGAAGTTCCTGCAGATACTGGAAGATATCTTAGTAATGCAAGTGGTGGAGGAGCCAATGAGGAGAGGTGTGTTGCCCTCCAGAGGACCCTTTCCACTCCAGTAATTCTGTGATTCTCTGAACTTCAATCTTTGTGCCTTGAGATACCAGCAACCCCAGATCTCTTTATACAGGGCTGCTCTCCAGTATGACTCCTCTACCTATTTAGACTTGTATCAGGAATCTGACACCTGGTACCTCTCTACCTGATGCAGAATCCACCGTTTTAACTTGTTAGATTTCATGTCATTAATCATAGCCAAATCCTCAACTATCCACATCTTTCTGCAAGGTCTCTTGTCCCTCAAGAGTCAACAGCAACTTTCAAGTTTAGTATTATTAGCAAACATAATTATGCATTCCTGCCTCCTAATCATGGATAAGTACATTGAGCTGAACTGGCCCCAGATTTGAAACCTGAGGAACACTGTGGATGACTGTCAGCTCCATGCACTAGAACTCTTTGAGCTCCGCCCTTCTGCCAGTTCTTTAACCAGTGCACCCACTAGGTGGGTAGCTGTATCATAGAAGGGTATCAGATGAGTTACTCAGGGCTTTCCCTTTGTGAACTCATGTTGACGGTGATTGATGGTTGTATTGTTCTTTAATTGCCTTTCAATAGTATCCAGTATGATCTCAGTAAATTTTCCCTGGTAATGAAGTTAACAGGCCTGCAGTTGCCTGTGTCTTTCCTCAAGCCCTTCTGGTAAACTGGATTAATGTTGGGCAGCTTCTGGTGAGCAGGGATCTCCCCAGACTCCCAAAAGATAGCTCCTCCAGTGCTCTGGGATGAATCCCATCAGGCCCACTGAATTACAAAGATTAAAGTGATACAACTGCTCATTTACAGTTTCAGTGTCCAGAAATGGAAAGTCATTGCTGCTGTATGTTCTCTGAGAGGACCCATGTGTATCAATGTTATTAATGACTGATGCAAAAGCATTATAATGCCTCTGCCTTTTACTCATCCTTTTTTCAGGCTACCTTCATCAAGAATTGGTTGAATATTTTCCTAAGATCTCTTCTTGCTCTAAACGTACCCAGAATTTCTTTTTTAATCTGACCCAACGCTGGCCAGTTTCAACCCTGAGGTTTGGACTTTCATGTTTTCTCCCTACACAGCTCCGTAATCATCCTGTGAGGTCTGACCTCTCTTAGAGAGATCATTCTTTGTGAGTTCCAAGAGGAGTTCCCTGTTCAGCCAAGCTGTTCTTCTGCCCTTCTTGCTGGACTTTTGGCATACTGTGATTTACTTGCTTCTGTGCTTCTAAAAGGTTGCTCTTAAAAATGGACCAGCACTCATGGATCTCTAAGCCCTGAAAATCAGATTCCCAGAGGATACTGCTAACTAGCTTCCTGAGCAGTCTAAGGTTTGCTATCCTGAAATCTTGGATAGCAACTCTGATGTCTTGTTTCTCATTTACACCAAAAAATTTAAACTCATGATTACTGTGGCCAAAACAGCCACCTAAAAATCCCATCTTCTCCTTCCCTATTCACAAACAGCAAGTTTCTGATGGGGATGGGGAGGGGCAGAGGGAGAGTTGGGGGAGTCTTTCCTAGTTGTTTCAATGAATACTTGTGGCAAGAAATTATCTTCAACATACTTCTGGAATTTCTGAGACTTCCTTGTCACAGTTGTCTAGCATGTCCAGGAAACTGAAATTTTCCACAAGAACAAGGGCTACTTGTTCAGAGATTTCTCCTCACTGCCCATAGATCACATAATCACTGCTGGCATTGTGACTGCCATCTCCCTAATTCTCACTCAGAGCTTTTCAACCACATTATTCCTAACTGCAAGGAATGACAGTGAAAACTGTGCCTTCCAATGCAACTCCTTTGCCTTGTCTATCCCTCCTGAACAGTCTATAGCCCTGCATGCCAGCACTCCAGTCATGGAACTCATTCTACCAAGTCTCACCAATACAAATCTCATAGCTTTGGGAGCTGACAAATGCTTACAGTTTATCCTGTTTATTTCTTGTATCGTGTGCATTGGTGTTCAAACATTTCAAATACTCTCTTAAACTCTCAGTGCTCTACAAGCATTGCTACCCTCAGGCCATGCTATGCCATTGCTTGAATTCCATGTTCTACTACATATCAGTAGGAATTTAGTTAATTTAGATGTTTACATATTGCTCCTCTAGGCAAACTGAAACCCAGCAAATAGGCTTCACACAGCGATTTCCTTTAAAAAAGACAAGTTTTCATCTGAATTGAAATGCTAATCAACAGGCAAACTGAGATGATTAAAGGTGTAAGTTAGTTTGAGACAGTACATAAGAGATGGAACCATTAAAATGTGACGTATTGGACTTTGTTAGAGATTACTTAGAAGCGCGCACAAATGGAAAGTCATGAACTGAGATGCACGCTCTCTGACAAGGACTTTCAGCGAGTCCTTCTGCACATTCACCTTTAGACAGTTTTCTCAATCTACAGCTGCATATGCAGCAGAAAACTACCACTAATTATCCACTATTTTGGAAAGGCAAACAAGTACTGCATTAATCCTCCACACACCCAATCAATGAAGAAATGCTCAGCCTTCACACAGTACCCTGCTGGATGAGAAAATCCTAGAAAGAGTCATGGAATCATGCATTATTCTGAGTTGGAAGGGGGCCATAAGGATCATCAAAGTCCAGCTCCTGGACCTGCACAGGACAACCCAAAGAGTCACACTGTGTCCCTGAGAGTATTGTCCAAACACTTCTTGAACTCTATCAGGCTGGTCCCGTGACTTCCCTGGGCAGCTGTTCCAGTGCCCAACCACCCTCTAGGTGAAGAATCATTTCCTAACAGACAACATCCAACATAAATCTCCCCTGACACAACTTCAGGCCATTCCCTCAGGTGCTGCCGCTGTCACCACAGAGCAGAGATCAATGCCTGCCCCTCTGCTTCCCCTCACAAGGAAGCTGTAACTGCGATGAGGGCTCTCCTCTGTCTCCTCTTCTCCAGGGCAAACAGACCAAGTGATCAAGAAATCAAAGAATTTCTTTAACAGAGGAAATGTTATCAGTCCTGAAAAATAAGATAATTCCTCCAGTGGGGTGTGTTTCTAGATATATGGAAATATAATTTCCTTCAACCTGATCAAAAATCAACAATGCTCTTACCAGTACTGTCTTGAAAGACACTAGGGAACAGTGCCCAATTATATTTAGTTAATTTTTGTCCATTTCAGCAAGGAGGATTGCTAAATATAAAATCTCTTTTAATACCTCTCTTGAAAAGATTGCAAAGTGAAAAAGCCTCTATTCCTTCAGAAAGAAAAAAGTAACAAATAAGGAAAATAGCAGGGGCTAATCTATTTAAGTTCATAAACTTGTAAAGGAGTTGCTATATTGTCCCTTTTCCCTAGAGGCAGAGGAAAAACTCTTGTTATGTGCAGAGAAGTGTCAAGGAGAAAAGAACAGTTACAAGCGGAAAGAAAATGGCAACTGTCCTGGAGCTGTAGATACTACAGCGATCAGGATCATCAAATCATTTCAGCAGTCTTTATAAAGCCATTTCAAACTTGACATGCATATCACCCCTCTTCAGAAACTCTGATCACACTATATAGTTATAATGTGTTGTCATTACTGCAC